CCCCCCCCCCCACTTTAAAGTGCCTTTTCTAACTCGGATTGCAAAAAAACAAAAAACAAAAAAACCCATTTTTCATTTTGTTGCAAAAGTCATTGGTAGAGACTTCAAGGCCCAACTGCTACCTTCAAACACAGCAAAGAAACAAAGACGACAGATTCTTCGCTTCTTTTAACACTCCACCTGGAAAATACAGCTGTAGAGAGAGAAAGATGTTTGCTTTCTTTCTATTCTTCTTCTGCAAATTCAAAGCCTTCCACTCATCCCTTGATCTTCTGAAACATTCCCCTTTCTTCATCCATCTCCTCTTTTTGCCCCCAATTGAGGCCAGGAGGTTTGAGAAGCTACAGAGAGGCACTAAATAAACCACAACAAAGCAAAGTTTTGCTCACCAAAGTTATCCAAACACTGATGTAAGTTTGACAGCCCCCGGGGCAACAGAACTGTGTGGTCACAGCACCCTAAACTAAGGTACGTTTTAACTAAGATTCCTTGAACAAACCAGACTACCTTTGCAAATGTGCCAAGTATCCATTTCCCTAAGCTGCTGTGTTAATCCACAGCCAACAACCAACTAGAGTTTTAAACTATGGTTTAGAAGTTAGACAGGCCCCCCTCAGGGATGGCTTTTCTGGAAGTTACCAAAGACCCAACTTTTCCATAGGGCCTTCAAGAAATAACTGATCACCAGCGGTATTTGGATGTATATGGATTTATGGTGTTTTAATTGATGCTTTTGTTCATAAGCTTGTATTGCATTGCTTTCTTTTACACAGATTTCTCATTGTTATTTATTTTTGAACCCACGATGATGTCAAAACGACATCATGCTTAGGATGACCTCATCCAACTAGTGAGGGCCCATGCCTGGAAGGTGAAGTCCCACCTCTCTGAAGGGTTGTTCCTTTTCAAGGGTGCAAAAAGGGTTCCCTCTGATGCCTCCAAACTTTCAGAGTCAGTGGGCTCCAGGGCAAACCAGAATATCATTTACTCCTCTAAACATCAGCATTTCGTGCATGGTGGGCTCTGGTTCAGCTGGCAGAAGGCGCCCAGAAGGACTGGTGAGGAAGGAGGAAGACTCATCCTTCTGCCATTGGTGCCTAAAAGAGCCAAGGTCAAGCGCTCAACAGGAGACCCGGGAAGCTGAAAGATTTCTGTGGCATCTCGGCAGGAGTTCAGGAGGAGGTTTCAATGGGCTGGGTTGCACGGCTCGGTTGTGCGAGCTAAGGTGAAGCTCTCCCCAGGTTTCAAAACAGGTTTGCCAACTTTTATTACCGGGAACAGAATGCTGCTGGTGAAATACAGATGGAAAATATGGATGGGGCCGGCAGCCATCCAGGCATGGTAGCTCCATCTCAGAGCAGACAGAACTGGTGAGATGGTTCTTTGGGTGCTGCCCCCCCTTTCTCTCTCTCTCTCTCTCTCTCACACACACACACACACACACACACACACACATTTCATTTATAATCCACCAAACACAGAACCACGGTTGTGTATTCTGGAAGCTGCAGTCTGAACAAACCCAGAGGGTACCAGACCGGAGAGGCTTCAGTTTAAAAGTTTCCAGCATATCATGCAGCAACCGCCGTTGTTTTAGATGGGTTCAACAAGAGGAATAAATTTAAATGAGATTGCTTAGGCACCAATTAACCTCTGGAGCGTGCCTTCCTACGAGAGAACAGCAGGTCGCTAACGTCGACAACCCAACCCAACCTCTAATCTATCAGAAAGAAAGTCAAGGCTTGTAAAAAGCAGGAAGACGAACCTCAGCTATGCCAGTAAGCAAAGGAAAATGCGTAGATCTTATCCAAGCCGCTCATCTTTTCACCGAGTTTTTCAAGATCACACAAGTTGGGGAGAGGCGACAGCCAAACACGCTGATCTAAGCAAGACATTTTTAC